GCATAGCAACCTTGCAATCGTATGGAAGGTTCCTTGCTGTTACGTCACACTCTTCCTAGTCAAAGTCAAAGTCAAAAAAAAATTGATTTTGGTTGAAGTCCAAGTTAAATTGGGACTAAAATAAACTAGTGGAGTTTTTGGGTCTATTTGGCAAGTATAGAAACCACAGGGTGAACTATGCATATAGATAAAAATAAAAAAATATTTAACTTGCAATATTAATTGGAAGGCCCTACCATTAACTCTTATATCTAGTATTAGTGCAATATGGAAACCCGCAAAGATTATAAACGAGAGAGAGAAGAAGGGTCTGGATAAGAGAAAAATGGGAGAAATTGTGTCAGCCGATTGAGGTGAAAGGAGGAGAAAACATATATATAAGCTGGGATTCTTCATTTCGTTTACTGGAATAGGTTAATTAAGAAAAGTACAATCCAAGCTCAAGCTTCTCACACCATTAATTTTCAAATGGAGTACACTTTAGTTTCTGGCTTTAAATTATGTTTGCTACAACTCCAGGTAAGAAGGAATTGTTTGATTTTATGAATTGGTTTGAGTTCAGAATCAACAATTCAATCTCAAGTTTAAATTCTTGGACTTTATCAAAAGTCATACCAGTTAGTTCTAAAATAACAATGAAACAACCTTTCGCCTTTCTTAACGGAACAAGGCGGCTTCTGTTACTCCGATAAACAGTGAAGCACTTGCAAGAAGAGGCTGAGGCTATCTAGTCATTGCATTCAAGTGAATAAGAAATAACTTTTTGATATAAAAATAGAGAATACCGGAGATAAATTCTAAAAAAGGTCCTTTATACTTGGTATGCCATCGGGCGTTTTATTGGTAACTTTTCAGCCATTTAACTGCCAAGTGGTTTTCCACCAAAGTGTATGGTGGTTACCTCTTACATGCATGTATAGCTGTTAACTCTCATCCACGTATATAGCATCACTTGGTACTTGCATGTATAGTGGTTACCTCTCATTGACGTGTATATTGATTACTTTCCACTCACCAGGTTCTTAACAAAGTCAAAGGGAGTCATCATGCGGTTTCTCATCTATGAAAAGAAAATCCAGCGGTTGGGGAATAGAGTGGTAAATCAACCTTTCTAGTGGTCGATCGATAAACGTGATGGTCAATCGATCGACATGGTAGTTAGTAGGTCATTGAAATAGTTGGACAACCATCGTGTTAGTCAATCGACAGACATGGTAGTCGGTAGGTCATCAGTCAATGATCATGGTAGTCGATTGATCTTAGTGGTATCGGACATTTGTTTTCACTTGGTTGATCTTAGTCCACAATTTATATTACGTAGTATCATTATCCTATCTACCTCTTTTCGATAGTTATAGTGAAGAGGTAGCATCTTCACTTCTCTATGTCATAAGAGCAAATACTTTTTCTATATTTCCATTTCATCTCCATGTATAAGGTAGCATTATCCTCTTCCTCTAGTCAAGAAAATTTAAAATGATCCTCTCACACATCAAGTGGGGGTGAGAGTGAAAGTGAGGGAGAGAGGGAGTCGACCAGGGAGTTGACCAGCCCATCTTTCGATGGGCCGATCAATGGCAACACGACAGTTGATCAACCAGCCCACACGCTAGTCAATTGACAAGCGTTGGTCGATATGCTAGGAGTTGGTCGATCGATTGTCTCAGAAATAATGTTCAATTGGCAAAATTTAGATATTCCAACCTTTTTTGCTCGAGTTTTCCTAAAAGTCATAATGGTTCCTCTAAGTAGCCCAATCAAAATTTTGAAATCAATCAAGATCCAGGTAAGTTGGTAGTCCTTGACATTCCAAATGGACCTAGTGCTTATAATTCTTCAACCAAATTGATCAATTGCTTGCTACTCAATAGTTTATGCAATTCCAAGTTCGGTTAGCGAATTTTAGCTCAACAGTTTTCATTGAAGATTTTAGAGCTTTATCCAATTTGTTGATTTTCTTGCTTATCGCTTAGACCCTTGGCAATTTTGATGTGTAGAGCGTGAAGTTTAGTGATTTAGAGCCTTAATCAATTTTTTATTTTAAAAACTTACCATTAGGACCGTAGAGCGATTTTGTGCTCAAAACCATTTTTTTACTGCCTAATTCCTCAGACAATATGTTGGGTTGAGCACGTGGTCTAGTGATTTTAAGCCTTAATCAATTTTTTGATTTTGAAAACTTGCCACTAGGATGGTATAGCGATTTTGAGCTTATAAGGAATTTTTCAGCTTTCTTATTCACTACCTAGCCCTTTGGACGATTTTGATGTGTTGAGTGCCTGACTAGTTATTTTGTAACTTAACCAATTTAATTTTTTTTTTTTTTTTTTTTTTTGGACAGCTCACGACTAAGGCTATAAAGTGAGTTTGAGTTTGTATCCAATTTTTTTGGTTTTCTTGCTCACGCCTAGATCCTTGGAGGCTTTTGATATGTTGAATGCATGTTTAGTGATATTGAGCCTTAACCAATTTTTTTGCTTTAAAAACTCACCACTCATATTATAATTGATTTTGAGCTTATAACCATTTTTTTTTTTTTTTAAATTCTTGCTCACTGCCTAGCTTCTTGGAGGCTTAATGTGTTGAGTACATGTCTAGTGATTTTGAGCCTTAGCCAATTTTTTAATTTTGAAAGTTTGCTACTAAGACTGTACAACGATTTGACCTTATATCCAAATTTTTGGTTTACTAGTTTATTATCTAGCTCCTGGAGGCTTTTGATGTATTGAGCATCTGTTTAATGATTTTGAGCTTTAACCATTTTTTTTAAAGCTCACCACTAAGACTATAGAGCAATTTGATATGTTAAGTGAAGTTTGGAGCCCAAGATTCAAACAAAAAATCTCAATGATTGTAGATTAAGTCGTACATTTATATAAAACTCGCCTAGATATACGAACTCAGTAGGCGCAACATCTTGAATAGATTTGCCTTCCTTTAATGCCTTCATCATCTACCACCATCATTTAATAAGGCTAATAATAACAAGAGGCTAGAACTTGTAGCAGGCATTACATTAGGAACACCACTAGGATGCTTAACGCTTAGCTCCTTGGAGGCTTAAGCCCCAATACCATGCCTAGTGGAGAGCCTTAGCTTGTATGCTTTCTATATAACACTTCCTCGAAGCGTGTTGATCACCCATTACATATTCAACCCCTCAATTGATTAGGAATTTCACAACTTGTTAATAGGTTGAACGAATAGCATCAACAGTGTTCAACACTGGTCGACCATAGATTATATTGTATGCCATGGGTGCTTTGACAACTAAAAGCTTGTTAGGCTCATTGTACTTACTGAGTATGTGCCAGAAGTTATTAAAAGCTTTATGGTTGGCTTTGATATTACAGCTATCCCTCCAAATCCTTGGAGAGGAGTTATCATGGTTTTCAATTTTTCTAGAGAGATTTTCGGCCCCAAAAAGGCCTCCCAAGTAAGAACATTTGTTGCACCATCACCATTGACTACCTCTTGATGTCAAATTTACTATGTTCCGACTACCACGACGGAAATTATTATGAGAGCTTGCTACACCAATCAAGTCTTCCTAACTAAAGTGATATTCTGATTGAATCTCGCCTTTTTTGAATAGAACGAACCCTAGTGCATAACTTTTTCTAATGAAATTTGAATATCCACCTGCTGCAATCTCTTCAACAATAACGTTGATTACTTCGACCCTGGGTGAAGGGTGACCATCGACTTTCTCCTTGACTCAATCATTTTTCACGTATTTAGCTAAGAATTCCTATCTCAAAAGACGCTCGATCTCCTCTTTTAGATGGATACAATTTTCTATGTTATGCCCATAATCTTTGTGGAAATGACAATACTTGATTTTATCTCTATTGTTACCAGACGTGATCGTAGGCTTTGGCCAACCAAGCTATTTCGTGTCTCAAATCTTCATCAATACCATAGCATACGAAGTGTATAATGGAGTAAAGGTCTTGATTTCTTCACGCCTTGCCTGGTCGACCTGATCCTGTGTATACCCCTTATTTGTGTGCTCTTTTTGCAGATTGTTTCGATTAGTGATTTTTCGCTCATCATGCAATTTTTGCTTGTGAGTTTCGGGCTTTCTTCTTGAAAATTTTAGTAACCTTTTCCACTTCCTCTGCATCCACGTATTTGTCTCACTTCTTCAACAAGTTATGCCTCGAAATTTGGAGAATTCTTCGAAAGTGACCTCTAGGGATGGCAATGGGAAGCATCGACCATTCTTATCCTCTATCCTATCCGTTTAAAGCCAGACAGGATGGGTTCGAGGCGAGGTAGGGTGAGACATGTCCTCTGTGCCATTTATCATCCCTATTCATTTATTAATTTTATTTTTTGCTTTTTTTATATCTTTAGTTAATGAATATTATTATTTTTATTTATTTTTTAAGAACAAATCATGTTCTCTTTAAAAATGATAATAAATCTTTCTTTTTGTTTAACAAAAATCTTAAATTTTAATGGACCGGGTCGCAAGGTGGAGACCATGTTTCTCGTACTCCTCCCATATTCGGTTTGAAGCAATGACCCCCATCCTGCCTGCCCCATTTACCTAATTAGGTGGGTGATTCTTGTCTCGTTCAGGGTGAGGTCTATGGGTATTGGGTTATATAAGTTTTTTGGTCATCCCTATCATCATCTTAAATGTTCAACTTTGTGTCCCATTCATTAATGCGATAACCACTATAGACATTTGAAGGTCCTTTTAGACTAAGTATAGTCCCCACTAAACTTGGACAAAAAATCTTGTAAGTGCTCATCTTTCTCCTAGACAATCTGCATTAACCTAATAGCTATCTTCCTTTTTCTCTTGCTACTGAAGAAATGTGCTACAAAGCTTCTAGAGAGCTCATCAAAAGTTTTGATAGATCGGGGTGCCAATGTGCTACCTAATTTCTCTCCTTAACATCAGTGGAAAGTATCTACACATCATTGTATCCGGGGCTGCATATAGGTTTATTAAATCGACAAAAGTCCACAAGTGACCAAATGGATCCATGACTCCATCATATGCCTCTATCGTTGGCTTTTTGAAGCCTTTAGCAGAGGGACTGGACTACCATGATCTCTAGTACTAAAGGGTCTTCTTCTAGAACCATTTTCCTGCGTCTATCATTTCTCTTTGACAATGCACCGTCTATCTTTTGGGTTATCATTTCCTCTATCTTACATTCCAAGTCTACCATTGGATTTAAACTTCAGATGTGTGATCTCATGAGACCCTTGATTTGCCATCGTTGGCTGAGGGATAGACCGACCACTCTCAACGCTTGGTTTTCCAAATGAGTCATGACTACTAACTGAGTTTTCAAAATGCTAAAGTTACTCTGTGTTACATATTAAGGTTGTGATGGTAGGTCTCCACCCCAAGCAACAAAATTTGATTCTATCGTATTTTCGACCAAGTGCATATCGCTTCTTGTTCAACTTTTGACATAGCTTATTCAGACGTTCCCACAGGCATCACCAATGAAATAATAATGAAACAACCTTTTATCTTTATTAGAGAAGCAAGGCAGCTTCTGCCACTTCGATGAACAGTGAAATAACTGCAAGAAGAGGTTGTGGCTATCTTCTCCATTGTACCTCCAACTTGAGAGTTAGCGATTGGGTTTAAGTGAATAAGAAATAACTTTTTGATATACAAATAGAGAATACCATAAATAATTCTAAAAAATATCCTTTATACCTAGTATACCTTCAGGTATTTATAAGCGACTTTTCGGCCATGCAATTGCTAAGCGTTTTCCACCCACATGTATGGTGGTTATCTCCCAATTGCATGTATAGGGGTTTCCTCTCATCCACTTGTATAGAAGTACTTGGCACTTGCATGGAAAGCGATTACCTCTCATCTATGTGTATCGCTGTTACTTTCAACTCATCCAGGAAGTTAATGAAATTAGATGTAGTAGTCATGCAATTTCTCATATACGATAAAATGGGGGATAGTGGTAGATCGAGCTTTCTAGTGGTCGGCCATCTCGTGGTTGATTGATCGTCGTCGTAGTCGATCGATTGTCGTGTTAGTCGATAGGTCATTGCGCTAGTCGGTCAACCATCATGGTATTCAGTCAATCAATGTGATAGTTGGTAGATCATCGCAGTATTTGATCGACCACTGCATGGTTGATCGACCATCATGGTAGACAGTCAGTCATAGTGGTAGTCAGACAATTACTTTTGCTTAGTTGGCCATCAGAGTCCACTACTTACATTACATATCATCCCTTTCAGAAAGTAAAGGAAATTGATTCCCTCATGCAAAATGAAGTTTAATAGCAGAATAATATGTTTGCATATAGAAAAAGAAGTTGAATAAGAAATTGAGTGGGAATAAGTGAAATTCATGATCGTGTAATTACGTAAGTATTTAGTTGGAACGGAAAATGGAAATTAGAATTTGTGGTTGCTTGCTTAGAGCGCTGGAGAGGGGAAACTATAATTAGAAGGACTTGTACAATCCTGGCAAGACAAATCAGTAAGTAAAACGGAAAATTGTGGCACTAGCAAACTTGCATATGTATAGACTGAATGAGTACATAGAAATACACTTATCACTGTTTCCTAAGTATTTGAGTTAAAGTTAACAATTAATTTTAACCACATATTTTATATGTCACACAACTTTTTAACCACACATTACATCAATTTCTATCAAATTCTACTATAAAAAATTTGGTTTAAATCCCCACCAAACAGAGCTATTAATCGACAAGAAAAATAAAAATTGTGACTTGTCAACAATACTAATTTGGAATTAGGTAGAAATGAGTTTTGACTTGAATAATTATATTGTAACTCCAAGTAGGTGACACGGACATCGGAACAGTCCATCAAAAGATTTAGTTTTCGGTATGTAGACAAGTGAGGGGAAAAAACTTATTTTCAAAAAATGAGTATTTATTTAGCCCCAATTTGATTTGGAAGGAAAAAAAATAGTAGGTTTTGATAAAAGTGGGTGAAATGTGTTATTGAAAAGTTGTAGATCTCATAAAATTTGTAGTTGAAAATGAGTTTAAGAAAAAATGATTTACAAAATTTACTTATTTCATATGTTGGATGATAACATGTTTTGAAAATAAAATAGATTTTTGTAAATACTAGTTCTTTTTAGAGTTAAATTCAATTCAATAAATCATGTCATTTGAATATAAGTATTAAGCCTTTTTTACAACCATTAAAACAAAACTCATTTTCAATCGTATTTTTACAATAAAATATTCTACACATAAATCCAAAATTTTCTTACCTTTTAACCATATATTCTCAAAAAAATCACCATTCCAAAATTTATTATACCAAAAAAAGGAGGAAAAAAAAAAAAAAAAAACTCATTTTATTGATTGTCGAACATAAGTGAAATATATTAGTGTATGTAAAGTTAATTTCAAAACCACTAGAAATTAACAATATGATTTTATCTAATCTGCACTAGTGTAAATGAGTTTCGACATTATATGACTCAATAAAGTTATTAATCCGCTTTGCACT